GGACTCGCCCGGCTCGGGAGCTCAGAGGCTGAAGCTCCCTCCCGATGGAAAACAACAACCGCGTCCTCCGCCACCAGCCCGCTCCGCGCGCACTCTGCACCTGAGAATTTCACTTCAGCACTGCGCCTTCTCTGAGTCTGGGTACGATATTCTTTTTCCTCCTAGTTGTACAATTTCCACTCAGCCAGCCTTCCTAAATGCTTGGATGATGTCCGTTCCGTCTTTTAGGTGTAATTTAAATTGGTTGTTCGAGACAGCAATCTCTGGTGTTAACCTATGCCGCCATCTTGGATCTCTCGAGGTTGGAGTTTTAGAAAAGATCCCCTTCTGTGTGTCTGTCTTTACATCATTGAGAGCCAGGGCAGCCCGGGCTAACCTCTGTCCCATCTGCAAAGATTAGAGCCTCCATAGCTTCTCTTAGGCAACAGGTGGATGCTGCAAACTGAATAAGAAGAGGTCTGCCAGGTGTTATGCCAGGTTAGGCTTAATCCTCCGTGATTATCAACTTACAGGAGGCCCAGGACTAAATGCTGGGCTCAGTTGCAGACCTAGGCTTGGCCCAAGTTTTCTTTACAACAGTTTCTGTCCATCATTTGGTTCTTATCTTTATTCTCACTTGAACAGTTTTCTCTGTGGGCCTTCCATGGCAAATTATCTCAAATCCTTTCTGGAAATAATGAACAAACAATATTCAAGCTTCTTAGTCCTGTGGTAGCACCTTAGAGGTAAGGCATCAGTAAAGGGAGAGCAAGTGGCCTGAGAGAACTCCGCATCCGGACACACGTTTCCATGCGTGCAGCCGACAGCTCTGCACGCCTGGCGTCTTGCTCTGCAGGTGCCAGCTGTGTCTGGTCACCCAGCCCACTCGCCTCTTCTGACTTCTCACTTGACTGTGATCACAGTGAGCAGTGTGTTGATACCTCCGGGAAAGGGAAGACTCACGGGCATGTGCTGGTCAGGTGCTCCATCCGAACATGTTTGCAACTAAGCTGACCTGTGGGTAAAACGGACGGTACCGCCTGAGGCGCGTGGGGTCAGGATGTGTGGGGCAGGCAGTGCTGCTGCATCTCCCCAGGTGGGGTGGTCGCTTGGCATGCAGTGTGGCAAGCCCGGGCCAGGCTGGGTCGGGAGGACCGGTGGGTGCCAGTCGGAGTGCGGTCCTGGAACAGATTCTCTAGCCCTCTCAACTTCATGGTTGATTTTGGAAGCAGAGATGATTCCAAGGCCTATGGGTCCAGCCTCTAAATGGTGGGATG